TTTTTATTTTAAGACTAAGTGTTCTTTCTGGCTTTTGACTCCTTACCTGACTCCAAAGGAGAGCTGCACAAGAATTCCTATATGCCTAGACTGTCTGTTTATGCATAAATGGCAGATACAAATTTTGAATCTTGTAATTGGTATGGCAGTTTTTTCAGTGAGGACCAAAATAAACTGGTTGTTGTTTAACCAGTAGGTGTGTTTTATTTAACATATGCACATCTACTTTTGACAACATCACAACCTTAGAGCAGACAATCCCTCACAGACCCCCAGTGATCTTTAGGGACCCCAGGTTGGGAACCATGGCCTGTAAGGGGTCTCAAGGCAAAAGTGGGAACTGAGTTAATCTTTAACACTTTAAGGCTTATTTGCTTTTTAATGTGACATCCTCAGCTTAGCCAGCTGTTGTTATAATCACACTGGCAGTGCCAGTAACAAGGCCTTGTAGGGTCTAGCTATAAGAAAAAAAGGGTAATGGTGTAAATTTGATCATGCTATTATAAATAATAAATCTACCACATACAGCAAGCAGAAATAGTCCCAAATAAGCAACAATTTGTAAATCCCTCTTTTCTGACAACTCTTTGTATCTGCTGAAAGGCATGCAAATATAACTTTATGACCTAAATCCAATTTTGTTGGTTTACTTTCTTCCTTCTCTTCAAAACTCACTTTTCTTGCCCTCCTCTTTGGTTTGACTGTTTCAGATAACACTGGAATCAGTAGCTTACTAGCTAGTGTGTGTCATACTGGTCAAAAACCAGGGAATATCTCTGCAATGCTGCCAGGCTGTTTGATGAGTCTGGAGTCACAGGAGCCTTTGATACCACCTCTCCCCATAACATAGTAAGTTTTGGGGGATATTTCTTGTTTTTTCTTTTGAAAAATACTACATACTATAACTTGAACAATTTAAGCTTTATCCCAGACAAATAATCCTTTTTGTAGTGGTCATGTGTATGAACTTTAGAAGGCACTGACAAAATTATGTTGTCCTGCCAGTTGGGTTGTCAAATCATGGAACAGCATGTACTGTTTTGTTGGCAAATAATGTTTTGTTTTTCAGTTGTTGGGTTCAAACATTTGTGTGTGGGTTTTTTTGTTTGTTTATTTTTTTCTCCAGAGTCTGGGGATATCTGAACTGTCATTATCTGACTTTCACTTTTGTATGTGCATTTTTCTTTCAGAGTTATTATGGAGATGACTGGCCACTGTAGTCAAGAACAGGACAGAAATGAATATGTCTTAACTTCAGATGACGACTCTTTGTTTGATATTAATGTCTGGCAAAGTAGAAGGACACCTGAGAATGTGGAGATGCAAGATTTAGATTCACAAATGGGCAGCAAAAAGCAGAAAAAGAAAGTGAGGATGGAGATAAATGGACTCACATCACCTGAGCCAGGGATGTTCAGGTGTACCCAGTCAGCAGCAGTCTGTGCTGAGTCTACATCTCAGTCAGGTAATTATAAGTTAGAGGCTCCAGAAACATTTTGTGTGTGAGTAGGACCACTGTACCTTTTCATCTATCTTGTCATGTTTTAACCTAATTTATTCCACAAACCTTTGAATTTATGCAACTTCAAAGCTCATGTTTTGAAGTGTGTGAAAATCCCCAACAAAAGACACCTTCACAAAAGAGATGGAAAGGGAGAGACTCTTCTCCACAAAGCATGCAAGAGAAAAAATCTGGCACAGGTCAGAGTGCTCATTCAAGCTGGGATCAGTGTCAACATGGAGGATTATGCAGGTTTGCCACAGCTTAGACAAACATTAAATTTTTGATCACTTCTATATTCTGACATCTTTTACCACCATCTGTTACTCCTCAAACTATAAGTGTCAAACACAAGAACCATTTTTTCTGGTAAATTTTGACTTATCAGGCTGGACAGCTCTCCATGAGGCTTCTTCTGTGGGTGATGTGGCAGTGGTAGAGGAACTGTTGAAGGCTGGAGCTAATGTTAACACTAGAAGCTGCGATGGTGTCACACCTCTACATGATGCTGTTTCCACTGGACACTATCAGGTGATGGGAAAACTCTGAATGAAACTTTCAAGATGTAGGATATTTGTGTGTAGTTTCCAGTAACACTCTGCACATGTCCACCCTGTCATCATTTTCAGTTGGGGCTCTGTATTATAACTGTGGTAGCTAAGTCTTTGTTTCATTTGAAAAGTGAAACGTTTACACTGACAAATGTATATTCACAGCACCACCTGCTGAAAGCATTTGGACCCTACTGCCACTGTCCCATTTACTGTTTTGGTCTTCATTTTGCCTCTTGTCTCTTTCTCATTTTTGGGGTCAGTTTTAAAAAGTGATTCCAGACATGGCTGGAAATGACAGTTCTTTGTTGAGCGTCGTCTTTTAGGGCTGGCTTTTTAGTCATTTGTGTTATTACAAATACTAATGTGGTTTTAAATTCTGGTTTTCTTACTGAAATTAGGGTTTCATTTAGTCTCTATGCATTTGTAGCACCCTTCTCACTCTACCTAGGAGGGGCACCAACTAGACGAGTTAGAATGAGGGGTGCTTGGGTTCGTTTAATCAAAATTAAAATTGATAACCCCTATAACTAGTAATGAGGACTTGTAGTATGGTGCTTGAGGAAGGAAGATAGACCCAGCGATGGCTTAAATAAGAACACACGGCTTAGGCCGGATTTATTAGACCAAGATAACTAAAATGACCTCTTATGAGTACAAAACCAATGAGTAAAAGAAAGAATGATAAAGGCAGTAACAAAAAGAACCAAGATTACCAGATTGGTTTCTACCATCTAAATGAAGCGTCTGCGCTCTCTGAGTTAATTAGTCACTAGCAATACCACTGAAACAGTCCCGGTCGCCCCGTTTAATTAGGTCCAGAACACCTTATGTCCAGAACACCGTCTCAACAAAACACACAGTGTTCAGTCACTGAAAAGTTACTCACGACACTCTTGGGCCCAGTCGGGCTCTCACCAGAGCCGGCTAGCACTGCTTAAGCTAAGCGCCGCTCACTATCTTCAAAGTCAGCTTACTATTTCCGCCTCACAGCTCCCACATGGCAAACCGGCTGGCTCCGCCGGCGAAACTTTGCCGTAGTCTCCGTGCCCGGCCCTGGGCAAAGTTCTCCGTCTCTTTTCAGTCTCTTTTTTTCTTTTCCCCTCTTTTCTTTTTCCCTCTTCTCTCCCTCTTTTTCTCTCTCTAACTCTCCCCCCTCTAACTCCTTGCCACTTCTTTTTTCACCCCTCTTCCCTCCCCATCACAGCAGGTCACACAGATTGCCAGATTCCTTCGACCAATCACATTACTATGACTGCGTAAAGAGGGTGAACCTATCGTGGTAACCAATACAGCTCTCCCAGAATTGGCATTTACATCCCAAATACAATTAAAACTTTAGCTGTTCCACAAATAAAATTAAAACTGTAGCTGTAACAATGCAAGCTATAGTCATTTGTAAAAAGTACCAGCCCAGTATGTGCCAACGGGCTACACATTCATAAAGCATCCTCAGAATTTCTTTAACTTTTCATAATTCATTATAGTCATATAACTAATCCACATAGTTTTTCATAAACTTTGTTTATGGTCCTGACCTAAGTTATTAGAGATTTATTTAGGGGTCACTTGATGTCTCCTATTACCAACATCAAGATAATCTACTCTCCTTAGTCACTTATCATTATTAGGTTTAAGGTTGTCAGCTGTATACAAAAGTATGTACCACCATCCCGAAAGTACATTATAAAGTTGCTTGTCATTTATTATGAACATTTGTAAACAGATAGTTTTAAAATAAAATTTTAAATGAGACATAAAATATATAAAAAATTACAATAGAATAAAAAAAAACAAAACAATACTACTGCAAATGAGTGCAACTGTTATGGTTAGCTGTGTGTGAGTTGTTTAGGACCCAGTAATTATGCAGAGTCTAACCCAGGCTAGACAAGAAAAACGTGTTTAATGCTCCACGAAAACAAACAAAGCAGAGCCGGTCCCGTCCGCTGATCTTGGGGCAGCTGGGCACACTGAGTTGACTGGACTACTGTCTCCCGGGGTGAATGAGAGGCGTTGCTCGCTAAATAAGAACAGAGAGAGAGTTTAAGAACAAGCAGCAGGTATGGTATAGATAGTTTTTGGGTATTCACTCTGGGGACCTGAACAGCTGCGTGCGCCGCAGGCCCAGGGAGTAATCCAGGGAGGAGGAGACTGGTGCCAGAGATTCGGTGCCAGGGTTCGGTGTGTGGGTCCCCTGATGAGGCAGCGCTGGTAGCTGAGTGGTGTGACGTAGGATGGTGGCGCTGTTCCAGGATAGCCTAGGAGCTCTGAGAGGTGGAGCAATTCACAAAAAGCAGTCCAAAAACCAAAAACCCCTTTAAACGTGAGAAGGGCAAGAAAACCGATACCACAGAACAATGCGCAATAACGTGGCATGTCAGCCAAGATAGCCCCACAACATCCAGAGACTTAAGCTACTCAGGGTGACTTTCATCCACCTCCGGTGCCTTGCCACCGAGAAGCGCCTGCCTGTGCCGCCTACCGAGGTACATGGGGCGGCCCGAGTCACAGACGTAACAGCAACCAGGGAAAGGCTCTCTAAATGATGAAGGAAACAGCATTTACTCCACATTTTTTCCTTGCAGCAGTGATAATCACCTTGATGTGGTGCCTTTTTAAATGAGTTAAAATGTTTGATGTGTTGCTAGAAACATCCCTGATCACCAGTGAAGGAACATATTAAGTGGCAGACCAGAGCACAATAAATAAATAAGACATCCACTTGTATTTGTCTGTTGTTGCATTTCACTGGGAAGTAGAAGTGCTGCCAAGCATTAATAAGGGAGGGTCTACTAGCTTTGGCTTCTTGTTTGTATTGGACTTGATTTTGCTAGCTGGAGACTTGGTGAAGCTAAGGGTGCTGTCCTCTGGTCCACCACTTAAATATGTTTGTAAAGGGATGCAGATGTGAAAAAAAAATTGCACGCAAAACAAGCCTACACTTAACTATTATTAAAGATAGTATTGTACACATCTGCAACATACCTAAAGTCCTGTACAAATATGTGTATATTTACACCCCTAGGAAATGTATATTCTAACAAGTTTTTTTTTTTATTTCAGTTTCTTCCAAGCATGTAAAACTAAGGAAATTGATATTGTGAAAAACAAAATTGATTCGACATTTCAACCAATACGCATAAGACATCACAACATTCCAATAGTACATGCTTGAAAGGGAGTAGGAAGAAGTATACATTTATCTAGTCCTACCCCCTTTCTTAGACCATGGTACCATTAGCCCAACACCGGACACTCAGACCCACAGCAGTGCCAGTCCCCAACAACCCCCATATATCAATCCTATCACCGCCCTATCCATTGTACATACCAAACAAACCAATTTCCTCATCGACCAGCCCCTTGAATTAAACACAGACCAGTCACGCCAGTTACGGTGCGTCAAGCTAACTACCCCACGGTCTATCTCATCCCATTATAATACCCTCACTTCATCATACTCTTCATCCTACACGCAATACTATACTACTAATAATAAGTTAAACATCATTAATAAAGTGTGTTGCATAAATCAGGCACAGCAGTGTTAGCATCAGTTAGCACATCATTTTTTAGCATCAATTTATTGACTGAACAGGAAATAAAGTTGCCACTTGTGACATCAGCTGAGGTCCTGAGCTAGAATCCTTAATCATGTGTTAATCAACTTACTGGATTTTGTAATGGTAAATGTACTTATATTTGTATAGCACTTTTCTATACATTTAAACAAACACAAAGCACTTTGATATTATTTACCAATTCACGCGCCAGTGGACAGCCACTGTGAGCAACTTGGAGTTCAATGTCTTACTCAAGGACACATTGACATGTGGAATGGAGACGCCAGGAATCGAACCTTGCTCTCCCTGCTGATTCACAGCTGCCCCAGTAATGAATGGACTACCTTGCATCATCCTTGTCGGATGCCGATGTTCAACTAGAGTGCCAACAGTGAACATAGGAACACTGACCATGGAATCTTTGGGCTTTCTTAGAGTTCTAGTACAATATCAAAATACACAAGCTAGTAGAGATTCTAGTAGTAAGATGTTGTGAATGTGTACTGTGTAGGTGGTGAAGCTTCTCCTCCAGCATGGCTCAAACCCCAGTGACAGGAATCTTGGAGGCCTAAGTGCACTTGACATGGCAGAAGACGGGAATATCAAAAAGATGCTCTTAAATTTTGTAAAAAATGAACAGCCCTATGAAATGCCGGCACAATACAAACAACCAGGTGAGCTACTGTACCTTCCACATTTCATACTGGATTTCAGAAATGAGTCTGTTCACATTTTTGTTCTGTAGAGCAAGTTTAATCTAAGCCTTTTATTTTGACATACAGTACACAACAGAAGTGAGTAATATCGCATGTAATATCAACTAAATGTGAAATGATTCAAAGTTTTATCAGCTTCTAGTATTTGCATTACTTCTAAGTTGAACAGTGGGGTAAAAATCAAAGCTAAATTTAGACTTACTACATTAAAATACAGGCCCCACAGTAGTACTGAGATTCAAAAGTTTGATTTTTTCAGTATTCCACCTTTAATTTTTATGACAGAATAAATCTTTGGCAGCATAGAGGATGCAAGTATTGCACATATTTGTGGAGAGATGTTCTGCTATTCTTCAGAGGTGATTTGTTTCAGCTGATCCACTATTCTCTTTAAAATATCCCAAATGTATTTTATTTACTTGGCTTCATGTTGTGCCCCCCTCAGTGGTTGTGGTTAGGATAATGTTGGGGTTCAGGTTAGGGGAAACACATCTTGATGGGGAAACAGATTTTGACAACACTGGCAGCAGGAGTTGTGTGCGTTTACGAACTATCCTCTCATTTTCAGGATGAGGCTCTTGGGTTTTATCATTATGAAATAATTACAGACTATTTGGAGTTATGATGAGTGCAAAGCTAATCTAGAGGTGCCCAAGACTAAAGATTGAATGGCTGGAAATGAGCGGCCATGGGCTCTTTAACTGGTAGAAAGAACTAAATAATTTATGGTCTACAACACAAAAAGACAGAGTGTCAGTAGAATATTTGCATTTGGATAGTTTATTTTATATGTAGTCCACATCAGGAATATTAGTCTAGTTTCCAAATTTAAAAAGTTATATGGAGAGTGTATATGAAACATACATACACCTACAGTATATAACCTTTACATGAATAAGTGTGACCTATTTTACAATATGGTTAAATATTTCACTCCTAAACCTGGCTGTTTAATGACATACTTAAATCTAAGCAGTTATTTTAGTTGTTTCATTCATAGTAATAACTAACCCAAATTTTGGAATACCTTACCAATTAATATTAGGTCAGTCGGAGACTTGGCAGTTTTTAAATTAATGTTAAAAACATATTTATTCACTCAGGCTTTTGGATCATAGCAGAGCTCTGATAACTTCCGTTCAACCTGTTTTATTGCCTTCTTTTTTTTCTTACTTTGGTCAACATGCTGTTTTTTTAAAGTCCTATACAAAAAACTTGATTAGATAATTGAGTACAGTCCTGCAGCAGAAACAAATCGACATCTGTCATAGCAGCAAGGCCGTAGTTTTGCATATGAACATAGAGACATATCCCTACAGATATTTTGGGAGGACTTAAATGTCCCTACCAATAATTGAGCAAACCTGTGCACATTGTCTTTGGAGTGATTTTAGACCATATTAGACCATTATGATATGCTTGACTTACTGAAAGGGAGGGGGCGGTCTAAAGCTCATGTGTAAATGTCATATTTGCTCCCAGACACAGCGAAGGTAATTATACAGTCATGGTCAAAACAAATTACACCCTCCTTCAATTCTTTATCATTATTTATCCATTTGTCTGGACCTCACCAACTTCTATAAACAACAAAACGCATCAGATTTCATTATGTGGTTACAGTTTCCCAAAACTAAACCATCATTCAGAAATCAGGTGAGAAAATAAAATCACACCCTTTCTACTTCCACAGTCATTAAGAGAGTAATCAGCAGCCACATGTTACTAATCAAATGCACAGGATTAGTCAATCATTAAGAAGTGTGTCTGCCTCTGTAAAAACAGAACCTTTGGCAGTTTGGTGTTCTGGAACACTGTGTGTCTGCATCATGCCAAGAAAATTCAATTCAGTTTTAATTGTATAGCACCAATACACAACAGTAATCATCTCAGGGCACTTTACTTTACATAGTAAGGTCTAGACCTTACAGTATTATAAAGGAAAAATGGCCCAGTCTCAAAGCAAAATGTATAATACATTAGTCTAAAACATAGTAGTGTCGCAATAATGGTTGTGTATGTACATATCCCCATGCACGGGGCAAGCAACAGTAAACCAACATAAGGCTGTGTGATATAACAAAATAAGCAGTATTAACAAGCACCAAACAGTGCAGACAAGACAAAGGAATGTTCATTGAAATGAGATAAATAGGAATAAAAATAGGGTTCCTCAACTCCACTATCTCCCAGGACCTGAAGTGGACGTCCAACATCAGGACCATCATCAAGAAGGCACAGCAGAGGGTGTACTTCCTGCGCCAGCTCAGGAAGTTCGACCTGCCTCAGGAGCTGTTGATTCAATTCAATAGGGGAATCATCGAGTCTGTTCCCTCCACCTCCATCACTGTCTGGTTTGGCTCAGCAACCAAACAGGACAGGAACAGACTTCAGTGGACAGTCAGGACTGCAGAAAAGGTCATTGGTGTGAGCCTGCCCTCCATGGAGGACCTGTACACCTCATGGGTCAAAAGGAGGGCAGAGAGGATCACTGCTGACCCCTCACACCCTGGACACAATCTGTTTGAACTCCTCCCCTCTGGATGGCGTTACAGGTCACTGTGCACCAAGACAACCGGGCACAGGGACAGTTTCTTCCCCCAGGCCATCACTCTGATGAACACTTAACCTACGACAGTACGATTGGACATTAACCCTCAGTGCAATACCTGTAAATATATGTACAGATTATACAGACTCGTACAGGTCTCTATTTTTATTCCTATTGATCTCATTTCTTTTTCTGTCTGTATTGTTTACTGCCTGTTAATACTGCTTATTTTGTTAAACTAGCCTTATGTTGGTTTACTGTTTACTTGACCCTTGGGGATATGTACATGCACATTGAGAGCTGTTGTACCAGAGTCAAATTCCCCGTGTGTCCGACACACCTGGCCAATAAAGCAGATTCTGATGCTGATTTTGACTATGGTAGAAGACCCAGGGGCCCCCACTGCTGACACAGGAACCTAAAAAAAGCCAGAGTGGAGTTTGCCAAAACTTACCTGAGGAAGCCACAGTCCTTCTGGGAGAATGTCCTGTGGATAGGTGAGACTAAAATAGAGCTTTTTGGTCGAGCACATCATTCTAGTGTTTTCAGAAAATAGAATGAGCCCTACAAAGAAAAGAACAGGGTCCCTACAGTCAAACATGGTGGAGGTTCACTGGTGTGTTGGGGCTGCTTTGCTGCTTCAGGCTCTGGATGTCTTGACTGTGTGTTTGGCATTATGAAATCTGAAGACTACCAATGAATTCTGGGACACAATGTAGGGCCGGTGTCAGAAAGGTGGGTCTCTGTCAGAGGTTTAAATTTTTCATCAAGCAAAACATTGCAATGTCACAATTTTCAAGGTGTTATTGTGAAACCAGTACATTTTGCATTGCGGGCCAACATTTACAAAAAACCCAAATCCCCCTTGAGCAAGCACTTGGCGACAGTGGAGAGGAAAAACTCCCTCCCACTTAATTGTAATTATTTATAAACAAGCAATTAATTGCTTAGTGTAACTTTTAGTATAGCATTTATTAATTTTAAAAGATCAGTGCTTTGTAAAATAATGGAAAAAATTACAAAATAATAGGATAAAAATGTTATTGCAATCATATAATGTTAACTGCAGAAAAAAACTACATAACCAATTATTTCATACAAATATCTCAGCACTCAAATGTACATAAGTGTGTATAGATTCTGTTCTTACCTAAGAACAAATCCCAGATAAGAAAATATTAGTAAATGCTAGAATCTTCATGAAAACTTTGTAAATGGGTTTTAGAAGAAATTTGTTCTTAAGAACATTTGGTGAATGAGGCCCAGTGATTACAGCTGAGATCTGAATACATGATTCTTTCAGGTGCCACATCAGAGGCTCGGTGTCACATGCAGCTCTCCTGCCAAAGCAGTTTCAGTCCCAGCTACAGCGACATGGCAAATGTACAATTCAAAAACTCAGGTGACAGAGATGGAGCCAGAGAGCACAGTGGCATTCATCTGAGAAAGAAAGACACCACCACTGATAATGTAAGAGCTCTTTACACTTCAAATAGCATTGGACTCCAGTGTGCATTAATGTTAGCTGCGCCTAGATTAAATATTAAAATAAAATGTGTTTGACCATTTATGGCACAGGTCCAAATATCTGATGCTGTCCTCTTTGGAAGCCATGCACATCACTTCACTGAAAGCTTCACTGGTTTTACAGCTTTGAAATGATAACATTTTCTCTAATGATCTTTTTATAGCTGAATTCTTCAGAAGCCATAACAGGGGTTTTGGAGGAGGTAGGAAGGAACCAAACAGAAATGTTGACTTGGCCTCTGACAGGTCCACAGGATACAGGTAGAACTGCTTGCAGTCCATCCTGTGTCTCTGACAGCAGTAATAATATTTATTTACATGTTAATGTATGAAGTGAATTCAAAGAGAATGATGCACCATAATTAGCCAGAAGGATTACAGAATTTCTACCTGATAATGCTTAAGCACATTAGATGAGAGAAGAAGACAGCCAGAAATAAGGTACGTTATTATCATTTACTGTAGTTGTGCTGTTTTCCAGACAGCTATCATGCTGCTCTAACACAGATCCAGAGTGTGCTGACTGATGTGCTCGCCAAACAGCATTTGGAGAAAAATAAGCTTGTCCAAAGATGCCGGTGAGTTCAGGAGCTTCTCTCATCCTTAAATAAAGGTTAGCAGGAATAGATTGTGCTGTGGCTCAGGAGGTAAAGTGGGTTGTCTGCTAACCAGAAGGTAGGCAGGTCAGTTCCCACCTTCTTCAGTTCATTTGTCCTTGAGCAAGACTGAAGCTCGGTGACACCAGTGTGTCAGTGCTTCGGAATGTGAATGGATAAATAGTGTGATAGAGTTTTGAGTGTGCTGTGATGCATAGAAAAGCATTATGCAAGTATTAGACCATTTACCATTTTCTTACTGTTTTATTTTGTTTTTAATGCTGGGACAGTACATTTCTGAACCTTTTATGCAGTCTTTATAAAGTCTTTACAGCACTGTCCCACTAAATCCTGCTATTGTCAGTGTGACAGCACACCACTTAACAGTACCAAAATAACAGCAGTGTTGTTTGATTCTCGGTGCAGGAGTGCCTCTGACGCCCTTCGGCATCATTTGTTGAAAATTCCGCTTGTTTCACTAGCTTCACGTCAGAGGAACTTGGTGGAAATCCTCCAGAAGCAAATACATTTGTCAGACGTGTATGTAACCATGAAGGCCAAACTTTCCAATCAGCCTTCGAACCATCAGCGGAGTACAATAATGAGACCTCAGCCAAATCACTTCTCCACAAAAGCTTCCACACTGGCCTTCTCTAAACTTACAGAAGCACACAGCTGTCAAAAAAACCTAAGACAGGAAAGCCCTAGACAAGCGACATGGGTCAGTCTGTCAAGATCAGCACCTCAAAACAATGCCAAGGACATTGCATTGCCCAGATCTCCTACTCTTTTACAAGTGGAGGGGAAGAACAGTCCCCCACACACTGATGTTTTGAATAAGACAGCCGCCAGCTGTCAGGGCAGCACCCCAAAACACATCAACATTCAGGTGAAAGGAAAGAAGGCACAGACATGGCCTGAAGTCAACTGCAGACCTCTCTTTAAGCTTCTACAGAGGGGACTCGTGCCACCTGGAAGTGCTCTGCAGCTGTTGTTCAAGGTCAGCCAAAGCTCTTCAGAGAACCTATTACCTCCTTGTGTAACAGCTTCTTCTCTGTAAATTTGTCACCAAACACACATATTATTGTCACCAACCTGGAAACCTAATTTCTTGACAAGACAGATAATTAAACTTTACATGTGCTTACCATGGATCCAAACAACACCTCAACAACACCTGATTTTGAGAATGTCTTTAAAGTCAATGAAAAGGATTGCTCTACAAGCACATACATATGTGGCGCTTTCACATTTGATTGTGGAATGACAGGATCCCATCGGTTTGATGGTTGCAACCAGTAAGAGTTACTGGCTTCCATTTACATACAATTTACATAATAACAGGGACACCGAGTGGCCGATAAACCTTTTGTACATTTTAACCTGTCATACTTTGTTCTAAAAAGGCAATATATGATTTACTACTGAAACTACTGTCATCCCATATGGTTACAGCATATGTGCTGCTGCAGTACAGTAGTCCTGGCAACATAGACTATTTGTTGCCAGTGCCACTTTCATTGAATGAAAAGATCTTTAGTGAATGAAGAAAATAACCTGAATGTCTTGCCTCTGCAGGATCACTGGCAACTTGCTCATGTACTGTGTGATGGCTCAATACAAGACAGTAAAGGCAAGTTGTACTTGGGTCCAGAACAGTGGCTGGAGTCTGTCTTTGGTAACAATATCCCCGTCAGCTCAGCATACGCTTGGGACAAGGTTAGACATAAGGCCTCCTTACTCTTATCAGAAGAATGCCTGCAGAAACAGGAAATACTGTATTCAATTCATTTTTATTTGTATAGCTCCAAATCACAACAAAAATCATCTCAGGGCACTTTACATGGTATGTTTCTAGACAGTATTATTATAGAGAAAACAAGACACAAAGAATCAAACAATGTGCAGGTGTCTATTAGCTTAAGGTTTAGACAATAACACTCTTTATTCATTCCTATGACACTACCGCTGTTCCTGACACAGAAAAGTTGAACCTGCTGAGAGGGAAGACAAATTTTTTTATAATTTCCAGTAAGATAAAATCCTGTCTCAGTGTAGTATAAACAAGGGACGGGAAGAGAAGGGAAACACAGGGGGAATGACCAATGACTATGGTCCTGCAGGCATTGCTGTTACATTTTTTGGTAGCCTATGTGTCTTAACCACTATGCCACTAAGAAGCCCTGCATTTGTCTTATGAGCAGCCAGTACACTTGTACAACACTTGCTCAGAACAATACACTGTACAACATGTATTGCAGTGTAATGGCAACTACAGGTATTACCACTCTCTGTTACTCTGTGAACTTTGTGCCCATCGCATACCATCTTTTAATTTAGCACTATCCCAAATTTAGATTTTTAGCCTTGTACCCTTTTAAAGGCCCAGATTCACTGCAATAGAGTAGAGCAAATAGTTGTATCAGGAATAAAGAAATTACACTTGAAATTGTTTCAGATGATATCTTTGAGATTTTAAGCCAATATGTAAATTAAATTTAAAAAAAAAATGATAACCTCACTTTGGACATCATGCCTTTTAATTTTAGGGAAATTTCACTCACAGATGCCATTGTGAGGTGCGATTAGATGCTGCTTTACACTTTCCAAAGGGAATGTGTGATCAGTTTCTATACATACTGTACATACATACATTTCCTATGACATAGTCACATCTTTGAGACAGTGTTGCACTGGTTGACATTTCCTCACTACCATGAACATATACACTGTAGTGTTTTAGTACTGAAGCATTTTGTAAATCTCTGATATAAATTAATAACAAAAGAAATTGCAATTGCAGTTGTTTTTTTTAAGCTCTTATCAAAACCAGTGATTGCAAAGGGCTTTATGAAAAGTAATAACACACAAATTAGGCAGCACAGTAAACTGCAGTACAAGTAGTAATGCGGTGATATTGAAAGTGATTGTTCATGATGTTAAGTTTGAAAATAAAAGAAGTGCAAGTTAGATTCTTAGTAATCCAGGATGATTTAGTTGATCAGCTCCCACAAACACTTTTCCTTTCTTATGTGTTGACAAGGTTCTTGTCTCTGCTGTTTCCTGCCTGCTTGTGGAGGTCTGTGGACAAATGACATGACACACCATTAGGCTGTAAATGATTCAGTATGCACTGTAAATTTGTGCATAAGTACACAGAATCTTCCTCCCTATTTTTGATCTCATTGAGAAAATTATAAAAAATTGTGTAGTGCTACAGAGGTCTGTTGAGAGACATCTGATACCCCCTCTGGACTCACATCTTCTTATTAATTTGTCATAATTTATAAATAGACAAGCCAGTGGTGTTATAAGACATTTCTGATGGGCTACTTCCATTCTTTGCCTAGGTAATGTTCAATGGCAATCCCTTGTCTTATTTACTGAACATGGAGGCTGAAGGAAACACACCACAGACACCTCCTGTGGATGATGGTAAGTGCTCCAAGACTGCTTTCCTCTCACAAGGAGCTGCCTGTAGGTCTGTTGTTCCTGTCTGATGACATGGCTAACTCTGGCCTCAGCTGCACTCATCCTGCCTTTGACAATTCCTTTAGAGAATTTCAAACAAATAAATGGGCACCTAGTAAAACATAGTTTTTCTATGACAATAACTGATCACCCGTCACATATGTCTCCCAGCTGGACTCTTTTTCTCATTAAATCAACCTCATTAACATGAATTGTGCATTTACAGTATTAAAAAAGGACTTCATAGTAAAGCACAGCTTTGAAAGTATTTACGTTTTTATTTCTGCAGAGGCAGCCATCCTGAACAGCCTAATGAAAATCAAGGTAATTCGTTTGGTGGAAGACGAGGAATTCCTACCAAATGCCATAATGGACTACTACTGGGAGAAGCTCCTAAAGAATGACTGTTCAGAGTCTGACAACTGGGGGGATGAATTATTATTATAATAATTATATTAGCACATTTTGTCCATAACTGTGTATGTTTTGATCACTTACCTTGGTGCTTTTACTCATTTTAGGATTAATTCATTGTACCCATTGTGGTTGTGGTACTGTATTTAATTAATCTTTGTTCTCTTATCATATTAGTTTGTTCTTATGTATTTTTACTCCATGTTTCATGTTGTAACTATTTATTTCAGATTTTAAAATGTTGAAACTCTATTTGGCAGTGATGATAGAAGGTACTGTACTTTCTGTTGCATGGATACATTACATCCCAAAACACTCATTTCAGTGTTTGCTAAAGTTTAGCTGAGCATTGTTTAAGTGCCTAAAGTATTTGTATTGATAAATCTGATATTTCTACTGCTACCAGCATTAAACCAATATAATAAAATAAATAATAACAGTTGATTAAGGCATGTGTTAAGTGTGAGATGCAGAGAGGGAACTGATGCATTATGACTGTTGTGTAATCACACTTGTATATGCAGTCCAATGTATATAAATATGTATATATGAGACTTTTTATTACTCTCTAGTTAGTGTAACTTAACTCATGCCGGGAACTTGCTCATCATAGTAAACCCAGAGAATCGGGCATGAAGAGCAACAGTCCCTTAATGGACAAAAAGCGTCTGCCTGCTGTGCTATGGGGTCTCTACCTTGTTCTCTTATTGAGCTGATCTGTCAGAATTGGGGTCTCACCGGATTGCGCTATACCTGAAGCAGCTTAATGCGCCCTCAGTCACTGAGGGTTACCAGGATCACCCTGCCATGGTCAGGTGGCTGCTAACAGACTGCTCAGTGTGTAACCTCTATAGGCCAGTCCCATACAGTATGGTAACCACTCTATCTTTTGGGCATGTGTCACCACAATACCTCCCTGCTGAGTAGAGACCAATACTACCACACCAGAACCTGATCACCGTATAATGGAAGGGGTCTCTTACCTTTCTCCCTTGGGGAGACCCGGACCTGGGTGACATGTTTGAAGAAGACCGCAGGAGAATGAATCCAAGGTTTACAAAAAGTTTAATAAAGAATTTAAAATGTTACAAAATTGACTAGTACAACAGTCAGAAACTATTTCAAAGCAGGTGTACTGCCTGAAACCATCTTCCGCCTTGCTTCAGGACTCAGCCTCAGCTCAGGCCTCCAAACCACTTGACCCCTCGTCGCTCCTCCTTTTTCTAACCTCCATCTCCATGTGGCTGTGACGAGGGACCCACACAGTAACTTCCTGCTTTCTCATGTAACTGACAGTTGTTCAATAGCACCATCTATCACTCACTGAGTAAGTCAGCCAATGAGAATACCCCAGTAAACGTTATTGTTTAACAATGTGAAAACCTCCTTTCTCTGATATGGACATCCTGATTGTTTATCCTTAGCTTCTAGACATGAAACATTTGTGCATGATAGGAGCTCTTGTTGTTTTTCAATCAAACCAAAAAACATCTCTGAGAGGAAGAGGAACTAGACAAAAAGGAAGATCTTCACAGCAGATGGAAACTTGCACCATGGTCTGCATGGAGTGTTTGTTCTGTTAAACAAAGGCACTAAATGTAGCAACACAATGTTAACACATCATCAACTTAATAGAGTAAATACTGAATATGGAGTAAATAATGAATTAAGATTAATATAAGATTGTTTCCAGAAGATCATCAACAGACAAGTCACACTTCTTTGTGATCACATCATACGTACATGATGTAGCAATTTCTGCTTTCTTCTATGGTATGATTAATACTAACATGATAAAGGAAGTGCATGAAACTATATAAAAACCCAAACACAAGCATTTCAAGCTATAAGTGAGAAAACTATGTACTACCATAATAAAGCAATCAACATCGTAATCTCCTGCATTTAAAGCTGAGCTATAGTCTGTGAAGAGCATCCTTGCATAGTTTTCCCAGTGGTTTAGGTGGCTCAGCACCTACGTTTTCTGCTACCCCCCCTCTTATGTACTGTTCCAGAAATGGTCCCTCAATTAATAAAGGTAATGGTATTAGATGTAGGGAAGGTTTTTCTGGATAGATTGCAGTTGTATCACACTCTGCCTAATCATGACGTTCCTTTTGGAGTAAAAAACTTTTTTCAGATGCTTAAGCAGAATCGGTGCATAATACAGAGAAGTAAACGTAACAATGGGGTTTGATTCCTTAAACTGCTCCTCATATATAAAGCTGAAGGTTTCCCAGTTGTGTTGAATTTGTTCTCACAGTATTTCTTCTTTTGTTTGCTTTGTTTTTAATTCTCAGATTTACCTAAGAAATGTTTCTGAGTATATTTAGCCTCTTTTGGAACTGAGGCAGACGTCTGTATGACACAAGAGCCACTCAGAGACAATGTTAATTCAATTTATTTGTATAGCACCAAATCACAACAAAAATCTTATCACAGCACTTTACATAGTAAGGTCTAGACCTTATTATTGTTATTGAGAAAAACAGAAAGGTACAGGGAGAGAGGAGACACAGCGACATGTAATAGTGGAATGGAGAGCATCATGGGGCCTATAGCAGCATAACTAAGGGAAGGCTCAGGGTCACCTGATCCAGCCCTAACTATAAGCTTTATCAAAAAGGAAAGTTTTAAGTCGAATATTAAAGGTAGAGGAGAGGGTGTCTGCCTCCTGAACTGAGACTGGGAGCTCTGGGATCTCTCTTGCTAGTTCCTGTCAGTATTCTGGCTGCAGCATTTTGGATTAAGTGGAGATTAAGTGGAGATTTTTTTTATGGAATTATTGGGACATCCTGATAGTAGAGTTACAGTAGTCCAGCCTGGAAGTAAATGTATGGACCAGTTTTTCAGCATCACTTTGAGACAGGATGCTCCTGATTTTCATAATATTGCGCAGGTGAAAGAAAGCAGTTCTACAGACTTTGTTTATGTGTGATTTAAAGGACATATCCTGGTCAAAAATGACTCCAAGGTTCCTCACAGTAGTACTGGAGGCAAGAGCTATGTCATCTAAAGTAACTATATGATTAGACAGCAGATTTCTAAGGTTTTCAGGCCCAAGTACAATGACTTCAATTTTGTCAGATTTTGATTACAGCAACCTTAAAAGCCTGTGGAATATAACCTGTTAATAGAGAGAGGTTAATCAGATCCAATATGGATGTAATGATTAGGGGCAAAACATCTTTGAGCAGCCTGGTCGGGACGGGGTCTAAGAGATGTGTTTATTTAGATGAAGCAATTTTTTAGGTCAACTCCAAATATAAATGAGGTCTTAAGACATTTCTAAAGCTGTTGTACTAGATGGCATGCCAGTGAGAGTTTTGGGAAGGATCTCATAATTTCTTTAATAGTTGTGATTTCATTTGTATATAAGCTCATAAAGTCATTGCTGTGTGAGTGGTTGTTTGTGTACATGTCAGCCCTGTGATAGGCTGGCAACCTGTCCAGGGTGGACCCTGCTTCTCACCCAACATCAGCTGGGATTGGCTCCAGCACCCTGTGACCCTGTTCATGAATAAGCAGTATAGATAATTGATGGATGGCCTATGCCTAGCCTTTACACTACCATAAGAAAAACCAAAGTACTCAGCAAAAGAGACGGTTCTTCAATTTGGAAATTATTTATTCTGCTAGTGGAACTGTAAAACAGAACTCAGAGCATTACAGTCATTCCTAACAGGGCCTCTGTTGAAGGGTGATTATTATCCATTCAATATCTAGTCATGATATTTATTATGTTCACCAGTACTGAATTAAATTTCACACCTAGTCAAGGTAAAAGGCAAGCAAGCCAATGAAATTCTTTAACTGGGAAAACAAAATGTTAAAAGTCAAAACAGTACAGAATGTGAACATGGCCACAAACCAGTCTTTTCAAATCTTTTTAAAGATTATTCTGATAATTCAATATATATGAAAATGAAGCAATGTAAAACTACAATTAGGGCTGTTAACTTCATTACTAACAAAGATCTATCAACAGTTAAAGTTCTTCGGAATCATTGTGCAATGCCCCACAGGTCTCTTACTTTAAGTGTAGGTTAACACTGACACATAACACCACAGCATCAAACATCAACTGCATTAAGCATAGTACTTAATATAAAAAAAAAAAAAAAACTGTTGGTCAAATAAATGCTTCACAAATAAAAGATTAGCACTGAAATGCAGCTATACAGATGAAGGCATTGACATTTATAATTGCTTTTCCTCTTGTTCCACAGTACAGATGAGACTAGCTCCATTTTGATTCAATAATCTCACCTACCCCCAAAACTTAAATTCAGACAGAACATGGCTGAAACTAGAGCAGCAACTTGTGAAGCCACTTTTACCAACACTTCAATTTAAGAAGCACACTAGGTAAAAACAGCTTTATATAACACAGAAAGGTCTGAACAACTTTCTACAAAGAAATCTACAACTAAAACAGTAGACAAATTAACTGCAATTACCCATGTATACATGTGGTTACAAAAAGAAAAGAAGCCAGTAGTACACAGGAGAAAGCGCATACAGCATGTTAGTACATTTTAGTATTTAGAACGCCTTTTATTAATAATGGTGATGTTTAGAAACTATCATAATCCTTCTTGTCTTTCTTGCCTTCACCCTCGAAGCTGTCTGTCCCATCACTGTTGTCACGGCGACGCTTGCGACTGTTGCGGATGTTGAAACGAGCATTCATCTGCGGCAGAGGGTCCATACCCAGAACTTTATGGATCTGACGAAATGCCAGCAACCTCAGAGCAAACTGTATAGAAATAAATAAAGAACATTTGAAAATTACTCCATAAGCTAAGACAGCCACAGAAAACCTTCCACTTGAGGGCATTTTGTATTTATGAAGAGATCCAACTAAAAGATTTACACAAATCATTCTAAAAGACCTGAAAAAAATGAACAAAAAAAACCCCACACAAATTCACATTGGATGTTAATGTAACATCTTGATGCCAATTAACAGATGGTTATAATTAATGATATTGTAAAGGTACAAGAGACAGTGACCACTGGCACTGAAGAAAATCATTAAAATCTAAATTCACTTCCTTTCTTATATTTAACTATGAAGTTTGGTTTATCTGTTTTTCTAAGCATTTCTCTGATTTAAAATATTCACCACCTGAAGCATTGTTCAATCTAATTTTGTCAAGTCTCAATCAGCTTGATAGTTTATGTATAATTCAAGAGCTTGTACTTGGGCACTTGAGGTAATATCCTCTCTCTGTTGCTCCCCCATAGGCATTAGTGTGTCCACAGGCTTCTTTTCGCAAGGATCTACCAATCCTGGCCCACCTGTTTAAGGAGATAAAACAATATTAGCTGATGCTTAGAGAGTCCTCGGCATCAATACAGTGGAAGTCTATGACAATAAATGATTTGGAAAGTAGAATATTCACAGTCTCAAGATTTTGCAGTAAACACTGGACCATGTTGAAAGCAAGCTTAATTTATGAATTCACAGGC